TGGGTAAGTGAGAAGTGAGAATATCCTTACATGATGTTTGGTTGAGACAACTTCTATATTTATCTATCTAAATCACTATCCTACCAAACCAAGTTGCATATCTATCTTCATGGATTTAGTCGGCCAAAGTTTCCCTTTCATCATGTGGTATTATTGAAAAGCAATCAATATGCTGAGAGTGACTTTTAACCAAAAGACTTGGATACCCTCTCTTATCTCTATTCGATCTTCTTAGTCTAACACATTCCTTTCTGAACCCATCTTAATAACAAGAGAGTGAACTTGTCTTCCTTGAAGAAGAACTGCATGGCTGCTGCAGGCATTTAAAATGGTACATAAAGTATGATCAAATTGTGAAAGTGCTTAATCTCGAACTTGTGAAAGTGCAGAGTAAACTTGAGCGGAGAAGGCTGGAAGCTTTGGAGAACTTTTGAGTTAAGATGACTTATATAGAACAAATTGCACGAGGAGCGAGAAACAAGGCAGAAAAAACCCGACAGAATGAAAAGCTGAAAGCAAATGAGAAAGCAAAGGAAATTCGAACAACAGGCAAGCTACCAGGGATTTTTTTTCTGCTTTTGAGATCACCAATTATGTAACATCACTAGGTTTGATATCTAAATATTTGTTTCGTGGTTCAATCTATAACTCTGAAGTCTCCATTTCTAGGAAAACAAGACTTCTTCCGACAAAAATTGGAAAAATAAAAACTCTAAACTTAAACACTACTTCTTGTGTAAATTAGTTCCAGTTTTTCTTGCTAAAGGTTTCTGTTTTGCTACACATTACCACCACAGTTCGAGCGTCAACTTTATTTTAAGAGAACAACAAATTAATCATATTATGGAACTTCAGAGGTTAAGTGCTTAATCAAGCTACTGTTCCCTTCATTTCTCACTTCACGGGTAAAGTAGCATGCCACCGTCAAAAATATTTACAAACAGGGTTATTTTCGTAAAGTTACTTAATTTTTCCATCTATATTTTACCTACAACCAAACATATATTTCATAAAAGTTACCTAATTTTCCCAGTAAATTTTTTTCCAACCAAATAACTTTTTTTTTTACATTTTCCTACCTATCTCACTTTCCAATCATTTCCATATCTATTACATTTCCCTAGTATTTAAAAAAAAATTCCTCAACCAAACGCCCCCTAAGGCTTTGTTTGGAAGTTGGTTTTTGAAAGAGAAGGAATGGAAGGAGAGGGTTTTATTAATCCCTTCCCTTATTTGTGAGTTTAAAAAAATGGGAGAAGGGAATTGGAGATTTTTGCAAAATTCTCCAAACTCTTCTCACCCTTAAAATTGAAGTTCCCCCAATTTGGGAGGTTTGAGGGGGAAAAATTGAAAATAACTTATCCATCCTTAGCATTAAAATATGAAAACTACATAAAAATAAATAATTTTTAAATGTGACATTATTATAAAAGTCTCAAGTAACGACAAAATTTATCGACGAAAAATATTTCATCGAAAATAATGACAAAATTCTTGACAAAAATCATATTACGTCAAAGATAGAGATAAAAGAACATTTTCGTCAAAACTAAAAACGAAATTAGAGACAGAACAAGATTTGGCCATAAGCACTAACATAAAAAAATTTCGAAAAAAAATTCAGTCGAAATTCTTGATAGAATATAAATTCCTTTGAAACTGTCAACGAAAATATTTCGTCAAACTTTTCAAGGAAAAATATTTCCGTCGAAAAATTCAACGGTCCACATGTCCATCTAAATTCTTTGACAAAAAACAATTTCATCAAATTTTTTGTGGGAAAACATTTCTGTCAAATTTTTTTACGGAAAATAGTTTCATCAAAATTTTCAACGGAAGACATTTCCAGTAAAAAATTTTGATATGAAAAATATTTCTGCAAAAATTTGCGACGAAAAACAGTTTTGTAAAAAATTCTGACAACAAATTTGTTTTATCAAAATTCTTTACAGAATCTAAATTTCGTCAAAACATTTCTCTCAAAATATTGACAAAAAATCATATTCGTCGAAATTTTTGACAAAAACATTATGTAAATAATTTGATGGAAAAAATTCGTCAAAATTCTTTACAGAATATAAATTTCATAAAAAAAATTTCGACAAAAATGTTTTCATCGTAATTTTTGATTGAAAAATTTTTCATCAAATTTTTCGACAAAACTCATTTCAATCGAAAATTTTCGATGGAAAAAATTTCCACCAAAAATTTCAATAAAAAACATTTCTATCAAAATTTTGAACAGAAACATTCCCGTAAAAAAGTTTCAACGACAAATATTTTCATAAAAAATTTGACGAAAAACATTTTCGTCAATTTTGACGATAAATATTTCGCCAAAATTCCTTACGGAATCTAAATTCCATCGAAAGTTTCAACATAAATATTTCCCTCAAAATTTTTGACAAAAAATTTCCATCAAAATTTTCATCGAGACACTTTTTCATCGGAAATTTTGGAAGAAAAATATTCCATCAAAATGTTTTACGAAATTCTTTTTCCATCAAATCTGTTGACAGAATTTTTTTCCGTCGAAAATATTTAAGACATTATTTTCATCAAATCTTTTGACAGAAACTAAATTCCGTCGAAAATTTCGACAAAAAATTTATTTTTGTAAAAAATTTCATCCAATAAAAATTTTGTCACCTTTCGGCGGAAAAGTAATTTTTTGACCAATTTTTCATCATTTACAACGTAGAAATTTTGTCAAACATATGATATTTTTTAGTAGCGTGAAAATGGGCAGGTTATATTTACAAACTTTTTTGTTTACCAACTCTTACAAACTACACTAAGTATGACCGGTCATACTTTAATCATGCAGTGTACGACCGGTCGTATTTAGTGTAATTTGCAAAAAAAAAAAACGGATCATATCCCGTGTGGAAAATGCATAAATAATTTTATTTAGAAATTTTAAATTTAATTTTTTTTTTTTGTAAAATATTATAAGAGGAGGAATATTCTAACTACCAAAATTTTTCACTACCAACTTATTACCTATCTAATCACCTTTAGATTAATAGTTTATCTCTCTTCAAAAACTTTTTAACATTCTCTCTCTTTGATCCAATGGTGATGTGATGGGTAGTATGTTTGTAGTGAGAATTTTTGGTAGTTAGAATATTCTCACTCATATTATAATTATATTAATTAAAAGAAATGTAAAATTGTAAAAATATCTCATTAACCCTCCAATTTCTCCATTACCATTTTTTTAGCTCCCAAACAACGGAAGAGAATATCCTTCAACTTCCTTCCCGTCCCTACTCCTTGGATCCCCAATTTGGGGGTTTAAGGAGGAAAATTTTAAAAATTACTTATCTACCATTAGCATTAAAATGTAAAAACTACATAAATGTAACATTATTAGAAAAGTCTCAAATACTAACAGAATTTATCGACGAAAAATATTTCGTCAAAAATAGTGATGAATTTTTTATGAAATTCATATACGTCGAAAAATTTCTGTCAAAATTAAAGACGAAACCAGATTTTGCCATAATCACTCAAAAAAAAAATTTACGGAAAAAAAAATTAGTCAAAATTAAAGATAGAATTTAAATTCCGTCAAAACTTTCAACGAAAATATTTTCTTCTGAAATTTTGACGAAACACATTTCCATTGAAAAGTTTCGACGTGAAACAATTACGTCAAAATTTTTTACGGCAAAACATTTCCATCAAAATTTGTGACTAAAAACATTACTGTAAAAAAAATTGACAAAAAATATTTTACAAAATTTTTTTTATCAAAATTATTTACAGAATTTAAATTTTGTAGAGAGTTGACGACAAAAATATTTTCGTTAACTTTTTGACAAAAAAAATTTATGTCGAATTTTTTAACGAAACATATTTTCATCGAAAACATTCGATGGAAAATATTTTCGTCAAGTTTTGTGATAAAAAACATTTCAATAAAAATTTTCAACGGAACACCTTTCTATAAAAAAATTTTGATAGAAAATATTTTCGTAAAATTTTTTGACGAAAAATATTTCGATAAAATATTTTGACGGAAAAATTATTCTGTCAAAATTCTTTACAGAATCTAAATTTCGTCAAAAGTTTCGAATGAAACATTTTCCTGAAATTTTTTGACAAAACAATTTCCTTCGAAATTTTTGTTAGAACACATTTCCATCGAAATTTTGAACGGTAAACATTTCATCAAAAGTTTTGACGGAATCCTTTTTTCGTTTAAAACATTTGATGGAGGAAATTAATTTCCTCAACTTTTGATGGAAAATTTATTTTTGTAAAAATTTTCTTGGGAGAAAAAATTTTGTCGTGTTTCGACGAAAATTATTCCGACAAAAAAATAATTTTGTGACAAAATTTTCGTCGTTTGCAATGTAGAAATTTCATCGAAAATATGATTTTTTTTAGTATTGTGAAAAGTACGTTAATATTTTTGTTTAGAAATTTTTAATTTAATTTAAATTTTAAAATATAATAATTATATTGATTTTAAAAAAGGGCAAAATGGTAAAAATATCTCATTAACTCTCCATTTTTCTCTCTTATCATTTTTTTAACTCCCAAACGTACCCTTCAATTTCCTTCCCTTCCTTTCCCTCCCTCCCCCTTGGATCTCCTTTCTTCCCTTTCTCTCCTAACTGCCAAACAATGCCTTAAGTCTCGAATGGGGATATTAGTATCGCCCTTCCTCATGTGACAGTAGTTCAATGCACATTCTGTTTCAATGAAAAACTAGTCTTAGGTCCATACTCCGAGAATAAGATGACTCCAGGTTCACGGGAGGATACAAAACTAAAATAAAAAAAGAATGTGAGAAATTCTTTATGTGCAAAAAAACAATTCTACTATGTTAGCAAATGATTAAAAATTTTGCACAAAAAGGCGAAGAGCAAAGACCCAAATCCAGTGAAGTATCCACTACCCTGCTAAATAACCTGCGCTATATATTTATCTCCAAGTATTGCCCTACCACTTAATATAACACTTTATTGCTTCCATTATTGTTACATGTCACAGACAAAATAGATAAAGAAAAGAAGATATCTAATTCTAGCTTAAGTAAAGTAGCAATGGTGGAAGTACAAAGAGAAGAAAAAGAAGAAGAAGACAAAAGAAGCATGAAGAGACTCCTTCTGGTAATAAACTCCATCCTTTTAGCCATAGGCACTTCTGGTGGTCCACTCGTAATGCGTCTCTACTTCATCCACGGTGGCAAACGTGTTTGGCTCTCAAGCTTCCTCGAAACTGGTGGTTTTCCCATCATTCTCATTCCACTAGCAATCTCTTACATCCACCACCGCCACCGTCACCGCCACACCACCGCCGCGAAACCAAAGCTTGTCTCAATGAAACCACCTTTGTTTGTTGCCTCCGCCATCATCGGCATCCTCACCGGCCTCGACGATTACCTCTATGCCTGCGGCGTAGCTCGTCTTCCGGTGTCCACTTTTTCTCTTATTCAAGCCTCGCACCTCGCTTTCACCGCCATCTTCGCGTTCCTTCTCGTGAAGCAAAACTTCACGGCGTATTCAGTGAACTCCATCGTGTTGCTCACCGTTGGAGCAGTGGTTTTGGCCCTGCGTTCGAGTGGGGATCGTCCACATGGTGAGTCTACTAAACAGTACGTTATAGGTTTTGTTATGATAGTGGCGGCGGCGGCGTTGTATGGGTTTGTTTTGCCGTTGGTTGAGTTGGTTTACAGCAAGACCAAGCAAACTATAACTTACTCTCTTGTCATGGAGATTCAGTTCGTTATGTGTTTCTTTGCTACTCTTTTCTGCACTATTGGGATGATAATAGACAATGACTTTAAGGTTAGTTGTTCTCTTAATTTCTTGTGTCTGTCTCACTGTTAATAATTTTATGATTAATTATTATTGCTTTAGTTGGCAAATAAGTGTTGGGATTTTGGGTGTCTGAATTTTGCAGGTGATTCCACGAGAAGCGAGAGATTATAAGCTTGGGGAAACTAAGTACTATGTTGTGTTGGTGTGGAGTGCTATAATGTGGCAGTTTTTCTTCTTGGGAGCAATAGGGGTTATCTTTTGTGCATCGTCTTTGTTGTCTGGTATTATAATTGCTGCGTTTCTTCCTGTGACGGAAGTGTTGGCTGTTATTGTCTACAGAGAGAATTTTCAAGCAGAGAAAGGGGTTGCTTTGGTGCTCTCTCTTTGGGGCTTTGTGTCCTATTTTTATGGTGAGATTAAACAAGCCAAGAAAAAGAAGAACAAGAAACGTTGCCCGGAAACAGAGCTGCCATTATAACCATGTAGAGTAGTCATAATACTGAAGTTTTTTTTTTTTTTTCTATTCTCAAAAACTTTCAGCCTAATGTTCCTATTCTTATTGGTCCGTCGTAGCCGTAGGTACTACCGTAATATTGTAGATTTTTTTCCATGATTGCAAGTAAAGTCATGGTTAAGTGATTTCATCATGTCCGCATGTGTTTGAATTGTCAATATTGCAGGCTAGCTGCTTTGGCCCCAGCTTGACGAAAACCAAAGCAATTTCTCGCCCTTTCAAAAAGTGGGCAACTGTCCCAATCCGAAGCATGATAACATTTTGCTGGTCAATTTGTGCTTAGTAGCATGGGTTTACTCTCTCTCATTTAAAATTATATAAATTGTGTTTTTTTAAGTACTTACATAAAATACGATTGGTCATACTTTGTGTAAAACATTTAAAAGTTATTTTTTTTTTTACTTTACATATCAGTAATGTGACTGAAAAGAAATTTTTTTTTTTTCAAATTTATACAAAGTATAATCGGTCATATTTTGTGTAAAACATCTAAAGAATACAAATTTGTGTCATTCAAAATGTAATTATTTTTCCATTAATTGTATTTCATATTGATTGGAAAAGAAAAAGGCCCTTGGTACCAAATGAGGTCGTTTGTCGTGCCTTCGAAAAATTAAAAAGCTGAAGCCATTTGTACATTTATATTCAGTTTCCCACACACACACACAAAAAAAACATAAGCAACCACAGTGTATAAAACTTTTACATTAATAATTTCTTTACGTATCTAATGTTACCTTTAGTACACACACTGGTAATTTACAAAATCAAAATAGAACTATCATTTCTAATCCTCAATTTGGTAACTTTTTTAGAATGGAATGACTTGATAATAAAATAAAGGACTTAACATCTCTCCTTTTATAGGAGAGATTGAAATTTTTCAGTTGAGAGATAATTTTGTGGAGCCCACGAGCTTTTGAAAATAAATAAAAAATAAAAATTAAAGCATGAAATTCGAGCTAACACAACAGGAGAAATACACTTCCCAGCAACAGGAGAAGTGTATTTCCCTAAAATAAATCAATCAAAATTATGCAAACACATAAATACTTCTCCTGAGAAAAGATACAAGAAAAAGTCAACTTGTTATATGTTTTGTGAGGATGGTTATATACTTATATTAACAGATTTTTTTTTATAAATTTACAAACTATATTATGTTTCATCGTCCAAGAGTGTCTTACCGATAAAAGATAAATATAATTTGTAAGAGTTTATAAACAAAAAATTTATAAATATAATTTTTTCCTATGTTTGTATTTAACTTATTTTATGTAACTTGATGAAGTAAACTATTTTTTTATTTTTTTAATAAGAAATCTCGAAATATGTGCAATTTCTTATATAGGATATTTGATTTTTATTTTTTTATAACATTATCCTGGTGGCATTTTAGACAAGTGTGCTCCCCAGTATTATTTATACATTTTTTTTAGTTTCTGTCTAAAATTAATTAGGGACAAAGGGATACATTAAGATCTTAGTTTCTTTCAAAGGGATACATTTTTTTTCTAGAAAAGTTGAAAACAAATTGAAATAACATACGTTTAGATTTAATAAACGATAGTAATTGGATTTTTATAAAGTAAATAAGGATAAAATGAAAAAAAAAAAAACTAACCATTTCATACTATATAAAATCATCAATTTTATTTTTATGGAAAAAATGATAAATTTGAGTTTTATAAAATGAAACATGAAATGAAATATCATTTTAATATCGAATGTAACGTCAGTTCATATGCTTATTTATGTCACAAGCTTTTCTAATCATTTTCTGCTTGTTTGATTTCCAAGTTTCAAGATTTTAGATAGATACTAATAAGAGTAATAATCTGTGACAAATAAAATTATCATTTTTCTATTATTAAAAATTGCATGCATAGCAGCTGACAATCTTCATTCCTTGAATTTCATAATGTAATTTGTGGTATATGATTTGGGGCACAAAAGAATACATTAAAGAAACAAAGAACCCTCCCCATTGCACAAGTAAAATATCATGAAACAAAATTAGTACACGGGAAGTTTCCGTCTTCGATTTGAAGTCTCTATGATGACCTTCGCATATTTCAGAAACTGTAGGAGGAATCTTACGAAATAAACTTTCACCATTTTTGCTGGCAATCTTATTCATTGATAGTTTGATAAAACATGAAAAAGGACTAGACGCCAAGAAATAGCATTATTCAGCTATAGCCTTGAATTCCGTAGTCCGTTCACTCATTTCCAATTCAATAGGATCTCAGATGCTACTTGCTCCACTCTACCTGTAAATGCCACAATGGGACAAAGTGAGTAATAAGCAAAGTTATCTAGCGTTCCAAATTTTTAGATTAATAAGCCATTACATCTATCTATTAATGGGATCCAGTATGATAATTCAATCCTGCTAACAACCTAACTGTTAACCAATGTTGCCTTTTCTTTAACCTCAATATCAGAGGATTATTTGTAATAAAATAAAAAATGAAATGTTCTACAAAAACCAGTAAATATACCATGTGTATGCATGCAACCTTGCTCAGACACAAAATTGCTACCAAGAGCATATAGTTGACATATGCTTCTTCATGGAGCTGTCCAGGGATAAGTACCCAAGGAACTAGACTAACTGTTTCTGCTCTTCCTTGGCACATGTATGCACCAAAGAAAAAGGAAGAGAAAAAGAATAGCTAGAAACTACCACAGGTTTAGTGAACGAGTGATAAATTCAATAGTGTACCTTCTACTTTTCATAGTCCGTAAGGATGAGGAATACAGCAATCACATGGATTTGTCTTTGGCAAATCCACTGCAACCATCTTTGAACTTTGAGCAAGCTATCCGCTCAACATTTTGTTAATGAAGACAAGGAATAATATCAGCATAGATAGTTCCAGCATAAACTTTGGACTCGACGTGCGTTCAAGAATATGCTGCCACCTGTAAGTTCAACCAGTAGATAGCTGCTGGTAAAGCCTGTTATCCATTTTGGATCTCCATTACAATCAGAAGTGATCAAGAACATAGATGAATAATGCACAACAAAACAAATCAAGCCAGCAAATTTGGTATCTGTGATCATGCAATTCATACCCAAAGACAAGTATTTGTAAGCAGTTATTGGAATAGGCATACATAATGAACATGTATCCTGTTGAGATATATAGTCTCACATTGATTGTATGTGCAATTAATGTAGAGTTTATAAGGCCTTAGGCACTCTCACCTTTTGAGTTAGCTTTTGAGGTGGTGTATCCTAAAGTTCTTTACATGGTATCAGAGCCTCGCCGCCCTCCACTTTCTCTTGTGGCGTTTCTTAGTACAGGTAGGCTGGGCCTGTTGCATTGTCCACTCTTCAAGCCCAATGGGCTCTTGTGTGAGGGAGCATGTTGAGATATATAGTCCCACATTGGTTGTATGTGCAACTAATGTGGAGTTTATAAGGCCTTGGACACTCCCACCCTTTGAGCTAGCTTTTGGAGTGGTGTATCCCAAGGTTCTTTACATATCCCTTATTCCCAATCTTAATAACACCAAATTACCACAGGGTTTAGGTAAAGTGCAGTTTACAATAATTTTTTTTAAGCGAGTTAATTTAATTTCAAGCATTCTGACTGACTCACTATTTTCTACAATAGTATGTCAGTAGTGACGATTTGCCTCATCCAAATAACCATGCAACCATCAAATCTTACTAGGGCACAAGGCAACCAAAACTAACAATATAGCAGGAACTAAAATAATGGGCGTACCAATTTCCTTCAAATGATGAGCTGTTTCCCTCCTTTATTTCCTCCTTTGCAAGTTCTTCAAGTATAGCTCGTTGTCGTTCATTGATTGCACTAAAACAAGGATGATGGACCAGAAGCGAATTGATGTAAATGTAACTTAGCATTAAGCAGTCTAGTGCTTATGTATAAAGATGGTAAGCACTTAATACAAATACCGATTTAATATGGCACCAAAACCATCACTCGAGGGCAAATTTGACAAGAACACATCTTTTTTCTGACTACTATAAAAATCTATGCAGCAATTTTCACACCTATAGCAACAAGCATTGACTAAACCATAAACTGTAACATAAAGAAATAATACAACGGCATTAAAAGGCATCAGAGGAGTGTAGCACTATTATCCTGCTCCTTGACTAGTTACTTCATCTCTTTTTTCCTTTTTTATTACCGGCTAATGTCAATAGCAGAAAACTAACAGGAAAAAGGAGAGCAAACAATAAAGTATCCTATTTTCTATGATGCCATAATATCAACCAGCATCCATAAGGAATTGAGATCAAAACAACATTATAAGGAAAAGTGTTCTATTGCATCTTTACATAATAACAAATTTCTCAAAGTCTCTAGGTATATGAATTTAAAACAAAAAAAGAGTTAACAGAAGAAGAACCTACGTGGGAAAGTTAACACGGAAACGCACATACTGATCCCCATAATGTACAAGAAACCCATGCTTAGGTAGTCCTGCATAAACAACTATAGTAAATATACTTTTCCAGATCCAGGAGGTAAAAAGACAATAAACTAGTCCAAAACTGTCAACGAGAGAGGGGGAACTCTTTATTTAACCTTTGCCTCTTAAAACCAGAAGCTGTCCCGGTTGAACACCCTTGGGTATCTGAGAGGAACATAATTGCATAATATTAGATAAAATAGGGTCAAAACAAGCAGTCATGTGAAAAATATATCTATGGCAAGTTGAAAGTCATAATTTGATGATGGGAGCAATATGGCCACAACATGCCAGGCTTGTTTACCCCCACCTAAAGATATCCTTTGAGCACAATGAATTGGGGCAGAAACTTGGAATACAACACAGTACAATGAATTTTAGCAGTCAGTGGAAAAGCTCTCATTTTGTCAAAAAAAGAAGAAAAATGCAAAACCATTATGTTTTCTTTTTCTTTTTACCTCGGTAGGTATTTAGGAATCTGAAAAATATTGGCCCCAACACATCTTACCCATATTGCCTTCATTCCCAATAGATAGCATAGAATGTGACCAATTTACATACGATCCACAAACCTAAGCATGAACACACTATTACGTGGGCAACTTCTACTAATATTTAGTGTTCTTTTCACCTTATTATAATTATTCTCCCTGTAAGCAAGTCTAAATACTGTGAGTCCATTAGCCTCCTAGGTAGAAAAAATAACACCTTTCTTAATGCATGCATAATTTTTGCATAATTAGACTTTGCAAATTTTACGAATTTCCTACAACAGAATCAATGTGATGACCCTTAGATGCTCTCGTAAGAACAAAAGGTTTGTTACCAAGAGCTCGGCACACACAAATGAAGAGGTAGACTGAAACCTATTTGGGGGGAAGGTAATAAAACAAGACTTAATAGAGTGGGATAAAGATTGACGAATGGTGTCTTAGGACGAATTTGAGTAAAGTCATTAGTATTGTGAAGGGTTAGACCCATTTTTCTTCATATGTTCCAAATGATCCATTTTTAGTCATTTCTCCCAATATCCCCCTTTATTTATTTCTTTACCTCTTCTTTTTTTCCTTCTTTTCTTTTATTTCTCTTTTTTCTTCTCAATCTTTCTTCTCTTACTTATTTATGTATTTTCTTCTTTTTTTTCTTTGTTTATCTCTCTATTTCTTTAATTTTAGTTTTATTCTTACTTTCTTACTCTTTTCTTTTTTTCCTCTTATGTATTTTCTCTCTTATGCATTCTTATTTTCACTTCATTTTTTTTTCTTTTGATTATTTATTGCTTTTTTTTAATGGATAGTGTTATATATTAACAGAGTACAAGTGTAATTCACCAATTTATTGCTGTCAAAACATTTTTTTTTGGGGGGGGGGGGGGGGGGGTTGGTTCACCAATTTTCTCAAGAAATTGGGTGTAATTCATAGACTCATTTGCCCTCACACCCATCACCAAAATGGTTGGATTGAGAGAAAGCATCGCCAAATAGTTGAAATAGGCGTAAGACTTCTTGCCCATGCTTCAATTCCTCTACACTATTGGGATCATGCATTTCTAACCTCAGTTTTCCTCATTAACAGACTGCCAACTTCAGCTCTTAATTTCCAAATCCCCTGCCAACTCCTTTATCATACCCTACCTGATTACTTATCTCTTCGTACATTTGGTTGTGCTTGTTATCCTCTTCTTCGTCCTTACAACAAGCATAAACTATATTTTCATTCTAAAGAGTGTGTTTTTGGGCTACTCTCCTAGTCACAAAGAATATAAATGCTTGGCTTCAGATGGCAGGATGTTTGTGTCCAAAGATGTCTTGTTTAATGAGATCAGATTTCCCTATTCTCATATTTTCCCTTCCACTTCCTCTCCCTGTTCATCATTTGTATCTCCTTATACTACATCTCATCTACCTTTCTATAATCCAATTACTCCACTACCAATCTTACCTAGTGCCACTCCTAACACCTCACCCACTCCTTTATCTATTGCCACTTCCATTATCTCACCTACTCACTCACCTCCTATTTCTCCCACTGCCCTCTCATCTATCTGTGCCAACACCTCGTCTACATCGTCTTCTTCTACACATACATCCCCTACCACTTTTGCATCTGCTTCGACACCACAGCATCAATCCTTACACTCACAGAAAAATGGGTCTCCCAGGTCTGTCCCTTCTCTGCCTGGGTCTAATAATCAGTGTATCTCCCCTATTTCTTCTGCATCTATTTCCACGGGTATGTCTCCTGTCTCTCCTGGGTCCAGTTCTACTCTTGTTGTTCCTAGTTCCTCTTCTTCTGGGTCTCTGTCTTCTCCTTCTTCGGGTTCAAAATATGTCCCCACTGCTCCTCTTAAGTCCATGTCTCCTACTCACTCTATTAATACCAAATCCAAAGGTCCTCCACCATATATTTTTACTACTCACATTGAACCAACTTCTGTGAAACAGGCTTTTGACTCATCCACAGTGGTTGCTGGCCATGAAACAAGAATATTCTGCACTTTTGGCCAATGAAACTTGGTCCCTTGTTTCTCTTCCTCCCTCTAGGCGTCCCATTGGGTGTAAATGGGTCTTCAAAGTCAAGGAGAATTCGGATGGTTCCATTAACAAGTATAAGGCTAGATTGGTGGCAAAGGGGTTCCACCAACATGATGGTTTTGATTTTAGTGAGACTTTTTCTCTTGTTGTGAAGCCTGTAACTATTAGAATCATTCTTACACTTGCTCTAACCCATGGCTGGTCTGTTCAACAACTTGATGTCAACAATGCCTTCTTGAAGGGTGACTTAGTTGAGGATGTTTACATGACTCAACCTCTTGGATTCGAAGTGGCTGACAAATCATTGGTTTGTAAACTTCATAAGGCTCTTTATGGTTTGAAGCAAGCTCCAAGAGCCTAGTTTGAAAAGCTTGACCAGTCCCTACATCATCTTGGGTTTGTTTCTAGCAAGTGTGATCCTTCCCTTTTTGTCTTGCAAGCTCATGGTCACTGCACTTATGTTTTAGTTTATGTTGATGATATTCTCATAACTGACAACAACTCCTCCTTTATTCAGACTTTGGTGCACAAACTGAATTCTCAGTTTGCCTTGAAACAACTTGGGATTGTTGATTATTTTCTTGGTATTGAAGTAAAGCATCTTTCCAATGGGCGCATGCTGCTCTCACAAACTAAATACATAAGAGATCTATTATCTCGGGCTGGAATGATAGATGCCAAAGGAATCTCTACACCTATGCCCAATAGCTGTAATGTATAAAGATGGTAAGCACTAAAATGTTCTAGCTAAATCACTGGTTGTGAAGTATGTTCCTGCTCAGCTTCAAGTTGCTGACACATTCACCAAACCTTTATCACCAAACCTTTATCTGCTCCTTGATTTTGTGTGTTGAGAGATAAACTCAAGGTTCTTGATTGGCTACAGATTAATAGACCACCTTGAGTTTAAGGGGGTGTAATAGAGTACACGTGTCAGTTTGTAAGTCAGTTTGTTATTCAGTTCAGTCAAGTTGTTAGTAGCTTCTATAAGATTGTAGCCTATATAAGACTTGTCTCTTTTGAGATCTGTAAGAAAGAATTCAGTTGCAATATTAATCAGAGAAATGTTTAGATCTCGCTTCTCTTTCTCTCTAATTCTTTCTCTTTGATATATATATATATATATATAAATATATATATATATATATATATATATATTATTTTTATCCTTTTTTCCCCAGTCTTTTCGTACTTTTTATTTGGGTTCATCTGTCACCGACCCCAAGTAGTTTGGGTTAAAAGTAGTGTTATAAAAACCAAACCGGCCGGTTAGAACCGAAAACCGGTCATGTTAACCGGTTCGGGTAGAGTAATGGATCGGAAATGCAAACGAACCGGTGTGACCCGATATGAACCAGCTGGTTTTACAAAAACCGGTGACTCAGGGTCAAAAGTAGAAGGAAAAAAAAAAACTCATTTGGAATGAAACTGAAGCTGACACTATCCTCTGAAATCTTGGAGTTCATCATAGTCTTTCTTTCAAGCTTCTTTTACATCCTACTTGAGTTGAATCGGCCATCCACACACTACTGCCATAAACAAAAAAGAAGAAAGATAATAGACACAAAGAAGAAGAAGAAGATGACGAAGAAGAAGAAGGACGACAGTAGATAAAGAGACAATAGTAAAGGAAGCGTCGGAATGATGGGTTGAGTGCATTGGGAAGATTGGGAAATGGGAAGGATTTCTCTTTTAAAAAATTGATTAAAGATGCACTGAGCTTGAGTGCATTTGTATTGTATTATCTTGGAATGAGAAATGAGTTGTTTGCTTGGAAAGTGGAAATCCGAAAAGTGCCCTTCTATCGAAACATTAGTCTTATTGTATATCTTTTAAAAAGTGCCCTTGGAATGAGTTGTTTTCTGAAAAGTGCCTTTGGAAAATCTTATTCTTTTGCTTTTGTCTCCGTCGAAGATATGGGTTTTGAATCATTAGTGATGATTTTGACCTTGCATGCCAGCTGTTTAGCCTTTCTTTTTTATTATGACTTAATAAAAAATTATTTTTATGTTATGATTTTTTAAAAAATTTAAATATGAAATATAAATTTATATTTTTCTATCCAGTTCAAGCGATTCAACTGATGACCTGCCGATTGAACCAATTACCCAATACCCTGACCGGGTCGGGTCTAATAACATTGGTTAAAAGTGTTGCTGATGTTAATGTTAAAGTGTTGCATGAAAAAACATCATGTCTTCCTTAACTCTCTCATTTTGATAGATTTATTCTATAATGATTGAAAGTGTTGATATTCCTTGTAAATAGAATAGGAAACAGATTATGTGCTTGCTGTATTTGGTGTAGTCAATCCCTGAAACTACGGAATTTAATTGTGTATACTGTAATTATAAATTCATGAGGTTTAGAGAGGATTCCTCTCAAGTCATTCACATGAGAAGATCACTTATTCAGGTCTAAAAAAAAGGAGGGATTTGGGGGGGGTGGGATGCTAAACTTCTATGTCATTCCAAATTCAATTTCATAGTGGAACAAAATGACTATACTGATGAGGTTGACTCAACTGACAATATCAAATAGAGACGATAACAAGGTCTCAAGTTCAAGTCCTATTAGTGAACTTTCTTTGGTAAGTCATCTATAAGTATATCATTGTGATCCCTTACTAAGGCTTGTAGCATGCCCTCATCTTGAAATGGACCAACCTTGGCCCCTCTAAACTTTTCTTTACTTAAAAAACAATTATACTAACAAAGTAAATCTTAGCTTACTGCTTACTTTTACTTGCATCTTCCCCGATAAAGTAGGCACCTCAACTTTGCCACCAAGAATAGCCTGAAAAAGTTAAAACATTATGCTACTAATAACAATGGTACGTACCCTAACACCAAGATAATAATTAAGGTGCACAAGATGGTATGCGGATGCTGTCTTAGAAAGGCATTTAAACAATCTTCTCGGACAGAGTACAAGCAATGGTATAAGAGAAGGAATCTAACCTAAGAAGAGCTAAAGTTATCTCCCTTACATGTTATCTCTGTAAATCTGTTGCCTCAGGCTGGAGGGAGAGGGGAAACTTATTTCAATACATTCTTTGATCTCTAAATTTACATCCACTTCTTGAGTGTACAGCTCTTTTACATAAGTTTCCTTAAGGTAAAATGAAATGTTTTCAAACAAATTAAACTAAATACAAACATGAAGCTAGGATTAATAAAAGATTTCAAGGAAAACATGGTCTAATGCAACTTCTGGCTCATATTCATAGGGAATATAAACCATTTTATTATGTGTTCATGTCCCTCAGCCTAGCAGCTGAGTTGCTGCTGGCTAGACCTAACAGCGGAAAGGTGTGTGTTCCCCCTTTGTACGCAGAATGCAAAGGGAATTCAGGTCTTCCCCCTCTTTTATCAGACATTTGAACATCCAAAAGTACTAGAAGGGTATTTGCGTTTGAGAAACAAGAAAAAAAAAAATTAGTTCTAACCTGTGTAAAACTAATATTAGATTCCACATAGATATCTGCACCATCTCTGATAAAGACTGAATCCTCAGCCACCTATATCAACAGAAAATAATGTTGTTCCAATAAGAATAAAAGTATAGATTGTAGAGCACAATTAACCACGGGCCAACAAACATATTATACTATAAAAGCAGAAAGCCTATTCCTGGTTTTAAACAAAAGTATATAATCTTCTAGATATGAAAAGAAATATTCCAAGAGATATGCTACTACATATTAAAAATGATGTCTCCATGCACATGAACAATCTAGATGTTATATATCAATACAGTGACACAATTCTGTGTCAGAAAAAATATGGAAAAAAAATAAAATTGAGAAGTAAAACCGAACACGTTACATGCTAAACAGGTAGGAAATATTGAACACCCATAATTACGTGATCAAGGAAAATGAAGCAGTCCTATGATGTTGCACTTACCTGTCCCTAACTAAGCTACTAGCAAGTTACCTATGGATCCAGGGAAAGGGTTAGACAACTTTTCTTGAGCAGGCCAAAGAAAAAAGAAAATTAGACACTTAGTAAGATTATTTGTATTGAGAGTTTTAATTGATAGCGTAACTGTTATGGTGATTAGCATTTTTTTTATTTTCTTTACTAAATTAGTTAATTCAAACTTTGCAAATAAATTATTGTAACTAATTCATCACTTGCATCATCTATTTATACTCACAGCGGAATGAAAATTTACTGTTCAAATTTAGTATTTTTTTGTCCAACATAAAAAAATTTAGGTAAAATAAAGTCATTGAAGAAAGCACAAGTTAACAACAAAACTTAAAAACAACTTCGTTTAAGTTAATTTCTAAAATGTGGAGTAAATGACCATTTTGGTCATCCAAACATAAACGCAATGTTACATTGCTCTTCTATTTATGAATACATCAAATAGGTCATTTAGTGACAATTTATGCTATCACATTGGTTCTTAAAAAGACAAAATTGATGGCAATAATTGTCACTAAAGGACCAATTTAATGTCACCAATAACTAGAGGACCAATGTTATGTTGCACATATATTGGGAGGATCAAAATGGACATTTACTCTATTATGTATGTTAAGAAGAATATTAGTGTTTAATCTGTAGATAATAGAACAGGAATGCTTAAATATAATGTAAGCCTGGCTTTACATTTTCTATTAGTGTTTAATCAAAATGGACATTTACTCTATTAAGATGTGTGCTTCATACACGAGCATCGGACATAATGTAAACCTGGCTTTACATTTTCTATTGCACTTTCGAATTTATAATGAGTCAAGTTACATGAGAGAGTGCACTTTGAGGAAGCTAGCCTGTAATTTTTACCTTTAAAATGAGTATTTTCTCTAATAGCTTTTTCAGGACATGGAGGCATACACTCCAGCTTGCCAAAATGACCCTCTACCTATTAGATATATAACTTTGTATCTTACTGTGTTGTAGCTTTATTCAATGTACTTGCATGTATCTGATAATTTCCATTCAGTTAGTTACGATTCTGTTTTACTTTCTGTTTGTCCGTTCAGATCTAACTCATCTAATGAGTTAGATATCTCTCACTGTATATATATTAGGTTGCCCTGTATCTTCTGAATATAATACAAAATCAGACATTCAGTTCTCTCTTTCTCTTTCTCTTTCTCTCTCTCTCATCTATGGCTTCTACACAGTATTCGAATACTACCCCTGTAAGGGTCTAATGTATCTATTTCCCTTTAATAAAGCAAAGTTTGGGAGAAATTACAGATTCACAGGCCAGCAGGTGAGCAGAAGTTAATGTGTGCTAAAATGAATATTTTGATAGAAAAATAGATGAAAAACCTTGCCTTTATTTTAATGTATAAACTTCCAGGTCGACCTCGACTTGCAGCAGCATTCCCAGCTTCTGGCACATGGATTGTATCCCCTGAATCCACGCCTGCCAATTCATGGAAAACTATGATAAGACTGGGAGGAAAAAAAAACACCCACGTTCTTTGAATAAAATATAAAAAAGTACGGCAGAAGATAAACCAAATATGCCGGGCAGGTCCGCATCATGGATAAAATCATGAAAATTTTCATTTCTAAAATATTCTAATATATAACGATTAACACCTTAATAGGGACCAAAGGCTATCCCATATCTGTTGAGCACGATTAAAGTTGGTTGAATTGATACTCTGTAGGTGAAGAGTTTCGAATATGAATAAGAAGCTACTACAACAACAACCAGACCTAATTCCACTATGTTCAGGTATTGATGAGCGCTAACCAAGCTACAGTTCCAGGTAACTTCATCTCAGGTATTAAAAACCAACCTGATGGTATTGTAACTTTAATCTCTTTAATCCCTTCAATCACCCCAGATCCTCTACATGACATACAAAAGTCCTGTACAAAATAGATAAACTAAATACAAATTTTTACAGAAAAAGCAACCTCACAAGATTACTTAACATGAGATTTATAAAAGACCTTAATTATACGGCCTGATCCTTTACAAGTAATGCATGTTGAAGTAAATGGAGGGATTGTAACCTGGCAGAAAATCACCACAACCAAGAATAAAAAAATATGTTAATAACTGATAACTCCAATACCTCAAAAAAAAATTGTCTCATGCATGGCTCAAATCTTGCTTTAAAATATTTATGTCATATTGATAATCAACATTGGTCTTTGAAGGCACTTACTCGACCTGAGCCCCTGCATGTTGGACAAACTTTAGGGTTGGCATCTTGCGGATAGCCCCGCCCATCTGGATTAATATAACGAAAATGATTAACATCAAATGGGATTATCATTGTGTCAAGGGGAACAACATACATACTGGCTCACTTCACTACAAACTGATGTTACGAGGGACAACATTTTACACATCCAGCAGTACATACTTTTGATTATTTCCTCAAAACAGTTCTGCAGCTTACAGAAATTTTTGTTATAGCCACAGATTAACAAGCAATAAATATAAGTAAACCTTGTCCAATGAATTCTGTTCATTAGTAATAATTTTCTTCAATTAGGCAAGGGCGAGGGGGGAGGCAGGAAGAGGCTACCCTAGTTTAATGAAGCCACAGCTCACGCCTAGGTTCTATCATTCAAAACTAGGGTTCATCCATAAGATTTCTCCATGTATGAAGATTGCATTACTGCCGGGTGCTAATAAGCCTACCTTTTGCTACTTTCATACATAGATGGGAAAATGTAAAACTTCAAAACAATAAAACATAGGTTTTGTTTAATCCCAATCACCCTCCCCACAAAAAAAAAGTTCTCACATAAAGTTCTTATTACAATGCAACATACACGAGATTGTACACTAAACTTCCTTTGCAATCGAAATGGATTCTTATGCAGACAATATTTTACCATTTCCTAACGTAATAATAACATGGAAATAACTAATATACAACTCCAGTATTGACATATTTCTCCCCAGGGCTTCCCTAATTCCCATAACATGTTAACTTTACTCACTGCAATAATCACAGGGAATTAACGCATCAAACGACACATGTTTGGTGCATCCTCTTGCAGCTTCTGAGAAAGTAAGAGTCAACTCCACCTATTAACAAAGCAATAAGCAAATGGTTAAGCTTGAAAAAGAAGGAACATGTTTCAAACAACAACAGAGAAACAAGGGTTAAGCTGACCTCTATATTTGACGAGAATTGAGTTGCTTCTTCAAATATCTGTCCATATCAAGAATGTTATGAGATTTCCTAAGAGAATAATTATATGAAATCAATAAAAATGAAGAATGCATACATATATATATATATATATAATCAATTCATAAAAGAAAACAATAAGTTTGAGACCAAAATTTAGAACGATAAGCATTTCTAAACCTTTCTGCATCATCATCACCATATTCTATGTTCTCTGAACCACGATTACGCATCTTCAGTTGAAAAAGTCATTCATCGTAGAAAATAATGGAAAATAGTTAGTCAATTCAACATCCTATTTAAGAGTAAGGCTATGAATTAAAGAAATTTTGAACATCTTTACTCAACTTGAAACTCCTCACCAACCCAACTTAGAGTAACAATTATACCAAATTTGAAATTTTAATAGCATATAGGAAGACCAAAATACCTTGTCATACTCTGCCCTTTTTTTAGAGTCTCTCAATGTCTGAAATTACATAGCAAAAAGGCCAGTTAAAATATCATTCAGTTAATTAATTAGTTTAGACACTAACCAGCCTAGGCAGAAGAAGTGAAGGCTAAAAATGTCAGAAAAAGATGAGATTAATAAAGACCTCATATTCTTCTCTTATATCAAGAAATTTCCTCTTCGAAGATGGATTATTCTTACTTGCATCTGGATGGTACTTTTTAGCAAGCTGCACAAGAGACAAAAGTGTGTCATAATGCAGTATTAGTCAGAAGAAGACCTTTGATTTTCAAATATTGTTGTCAAAGGAGTATATATATATCAAGATTGCAAGCCAAAATGCCCAGGCATACTGTTTTTAGTATGCTCTACGCCCCAAAAGTAGTCATATTAGATTAAACTGCACAAACAAAACTTCTATAAGTAATACCACTTTGACAATATTGTGGGAAATTGTTAAGCATTCACATATTACGTTTTGCCCAGTTGTATCTCTCCACATGCGCGAGATTTCAACTCCAAAATTCAAAGTGATAATGAATCGATTAATCAGCAGCGAGATTAATGCTGATTATGCACAAAAATGTGAATCAACAAGAACAAGGGTCAGCTTGGTTAAGGCACAAACAGAAGAAGAAAAATATAGAGTAAAGATGAAGAAACAAAAACGAGAATGGCTAAGGTTTTACATTCCATCCACAGTAAGATTTTCCTCTCTTAAATGAGATGAAAATGAAGCAAAAACTAGAGTAAAAATATAGTGCTATATTAAACAGAATAACTTTACGATTTCCCTACCTCATATTAATACTAAATAAATGAGACAACTGTGACTACGAATAGACCATTTAATTTGTCATTGCTGTCACTCCTACCAAGCACGAAGCAATTGGGAATGGAATTTCATCAATCATATTAAAAATGTTCAAGGTGAAAATTGAATTATCCTCATTCCCCAAATGTTGCAATTTTTCAATTAACTCCATCATTACTCTACTCTAACAAGAACAGCTTTGATCAATAGTCACGCACCAAGTGAAATGCCTTCTTTATCTCATCCTGACTGGCAGTTTGAGGAACACCAAGAACTCGATAATAGTCTCGTTCAGCAGCAGAAGAAAATGCTGGAACAACAAAAGCATAAAAAGGAAACCAAATGAAAATCTTATAATAGCTGGATATCATTGATAACTAGAAACAAGGTGGTTCATGTTTGACTCAAAACCTGTGGCATGAATATAACGATATCTCAATGGTGTTCTAGGAATTGGAGACTCCTCCGTTTTTGTAAAAAAACTGCAATTCACCAAAGCTGGAAGAACATTTAATTTAACCCAAAACAAGCAACAACAAAAAATCAGAAAAATGGAAATAATAATTAAGATGCAAAAAGAATGAGAAATTGGCAACGTGCCTCGTGCGAGTAACAAGGATTGGGAAGACGACAAGAATTTGGTGAACGAATCTCTTTTATCGATTGAGGCCACAGACGAAAGCAAATGGCGCCGATACTGCATTGGAAGAATTGGTGATGAGAACAAGGATAATTGAGAAAATGGAACAATAATTTTGAATGATTTTGGAATTCTTGTTGATTCACTCACTGGCGTTAACCACGTGAACCTTCTCATTTGAGCTAAATGCCTGTGATAGCTGCAAAATTGATAGGGATGAAAGCTTTGAGGTTCCAGTGGAGGAGCTGCTCTTAGGGTTTTAACACATTGGGGTTTAGGTTGGGGCTGAAGAATGTTCACACCTGCTAGCCAGCTGTGTAAATAGAGCGGCGTGCCTTCCTTAAATCTGAGCTGGTCGGCTCTATTTGCTTTTTATTTGTAAAAAAAGTTCATTTAAAAAATGAGAAAAGTGTGTACTTTTAAAAGAAATATAAAGTTGTCTCAATTATAGCAGAAACTCATTCTTTGGCAATTGCTGAGATGTCACTCCCACATTCAATTTCAGTTTTGCATTCACACTACAAAAATATAAAAAGTCTCCTTCTTTGAGAAATCAGGGAATAAAAGAAATTATAATTTAGAATCAAAATTGATGGACATGATTTGCTATCTCAAATCAACGGTGCAGATTTGTTATCATTTGTATTGGTAGACAATTCATCTTATTTTCAAATTTGAAATTTGAAGTTCAAAATTTAAATTTGAAAAATTGACAACTCAATTAATGTTCACCTACTTTTTTTCATTGGAATTGTTAAACATTTAACAAAATATACAAGCCTTCTCATTCTTTCTCCTGTTCTTTGTGTTTTTTTTTTTTCAGAGCTTCCATACAAGTGCAAAATCACATCCTTTTTGTTTTTCCTGTCCTTAGTAGTTCTTTTTTTCCCCACATTTCAAATCATTCGTCGTTTTTGATTTTCTTACTGCTGTTCGTCTTTGTTTTAAAATCTTTTTTTCTCCGTTGCGATTTTCTAGCTGATGTCGTCTTTTTTTTTAAAATAGCTGAGTATCAGTTACAACACACAACTTCAAAGAATCAGCTTCTTTGTTCGTTTGATCGTCTAACCAATATGTTTTCAAAATATGATTTTCTGAAGGATGTCAGTCCTGCCAAGGAGGCACTACAAGAAAAACGATAGATAAGGCGGTGTCTTCACGTCGTTTGGAAAAACCGCCCTTAACTCAATCAAATAGTTAATGAACGCTTAAGTAACTCATATCACACACTATTCAGCCTTTATGCTTTTCTCTCATCTCTCTCTCTTTCTCTCTCTCTTCTCACCGAGCTGTTCATTTCACGTGCTCATCAAACAATCCAACATTCATTGAGGACTTAATGCTGCGAGTAGCCTTTATGCATTTTTTGTTGAAGACTTCACAATGTACAGTGCGAGTAGCTCAACGATGATGGCTTGTGATGGAAGCATTTGAAGAAGAATGTATAGCAACTTCAATAGGGGAGAAAAGGGGTTTTAGGGTTTGGAGATAGTTATGGACATGTTTTACTGCGTATTCCCTATTCCATTACATTTCATTCACTGTTTCTTCTTTCTTAGGGTTCATTTATTTCAATTCCATTCATTCCTCTATCTAATTGTGAATAATTCGATTTTCTTCCAGGAACTGCACCCGCATTGAGATTCAGTTGCTTTCTCCTCAAAGCTTGCAAGTATTGTATTCTCTTCTCTTTTGAGTGCACTTTTTACTCAAGGGATGATGCTACACTAGTTGTTTTAGAGCTGAATCCTTTTAATGGATTTTTTTTATTATTCCCTGCTCTCTTTTAACTTTGTTATGTTCCTTTTTGAATGAATATTAAATAAAATTGGATTGTTAATATAGAATTTCTCTTAGCAGCCTGCGTTGGACGTGCCAATATATGGAAGGATTGCCATTTAATGTATTATTTATATTCTTGTATTAAAATCATTCTTTTTTTTTTTACTTTTTTTTTTCTTGTTTTGGTCTCAAACAGGGTGAAGCACAGGATTATTTTTTTATTGCAACTGAAACATACAAATTCATTTTGGATTGTATGCCTAATTTTTTGTTCTGTCCCTTCTTGTGTGACCATTGTCTACTTAAGTTCATTGTATGCCTAATTTTTTGGATTTTAAACGCCTGATACAATGTTTTTTCCTTATCTTTCATTATCATGGGAATTAATGCTCCAACTTCTCAGTCGTTTCTAAACTATGTCCTCTTGGTGATTGTCTATGGAAGCATTTTAATATCCTGAAGGAAAGCACTCAAGGTTATAATACATTCTTCACAAATTTGTGCCAGCTCTTGATATATATTGTCAATAAATTTGATTATTTGCAAAATATGATACAATGCCTTAATTATGATTAAAGTTTAAATTTTTTGAAGTCATTCCATTATTGGATTGAGAGATTAGTCTACAGGGTAACTATAAAAAAAAATAGAGAATTAGTCTACAGGGTAATTATTTTGTGCCACTTTTATTACTTGTAGGACTTGATAACATCTTTAGGCTTCAATCTTTTACATTGGTAAATCTGGATCTGATTTTTTTTAGTTGAAGCATAAAAGGTTATTATGGATGGGAGGATCATAGAAACCCCAGATCTGGTTACAAAGGCACGGGAGGAGGATTAGCAGTTTGTATTTCAGCTTGCGATGATGGAAATGCAGCAGACACATCGGTTAGTAATGGATCCTTTTTTCTCCTTTACAATGGTTGATGTGAATTAGAATTGAAATGTTTCTGAGAACCAAGACTTTGATTTGTTGATTAGGCCTTTAGTGGCATGGAAAGTGCTGGCGCATTGACTTACAGTTTCATCCAAGCCATGCAAGATGAACCTAAATTGATCACTTATTGCCGCTTGTTAAATGCTATGTGCTCTACAATACGTGGGGCTAAAGAAGGAACTTTTGGCCTAAACAATCAAGACCATGCCATGGACACTAGGCAGCATTATGCTCATGTATTACATTATATACTCTACACCTTTCTTTTACAAATATATTGATAACATACCATAGCTTATATGAAGTTGATTCTAAATGGTTTATTTTTGCAGGAGCCACAACTATCTTCTTCTGAGAAGTTTGATATTTATTCAAAATCGATTGTTATGTGACACGTAACTGGAAGTAGCACTGGAAACGAGAAACAGGTAAGGTTAGTCTTGCTGGCAGGAGAAAAATAATTATGTCAAGTTGGTAAGAGATAAATATAGTGATATTGGGGAGGGCTTGGCTTCTAACAGGTGAAGTACTGTACTACTACTGCTTCAATGTGCTAACCAACCACTAGTTGTTCCTCAATATAACAATAAACTCTCATGTAGGTGCTTATCCCTATGGAGACTTTGGCAAGCGTATCAAGTCCTACAAGTAATAAAAGTGGCACAAAATAATTACCCTGTAGACTAATTCTCTATTTTTTTATAGTTACCCTGTAGACTAATTCTCTACTTCATCATATATGTTGAATTTTTTTTAACCTGCTAACCATTTACCTTGATGTAGCAGTGCTGTCTGGGGACTTTCTTATGCAAGGCTATTTCAGTTTCATTGGCATTTAGTTTCTAAGAACTGTTGAAGTTCAATAGGGTCATAATACACACACAAACTGAAATTGATTTTTAAAATCAAAAGTTCTGGTTTTCATCAGGGAGTGATGATCAATTTGGCTAATATTCTTAGTAGAAAGCTCATAATTGTAGGTACTTACTCTTCTATATACTTAGATTTCTTTTTTTTCCTTTCAAGTTATACGCTTGATGTAATTTGTCTTATATGCTTATTCCTTTTGCTAGAGTGCATTTTCTTCTACACCTGTGTTACGAAATTGTCTGAGTGCTTCCAAGTCAGGAACTGAGTCTTACAGAATCAATAGTCAGAAGACTCGGAACAAGAAATCTTTTATATGGCAGGTGTAGAGGAGTTCAGCCATAGTGGATGCCCTTTTCACCACTTCGACATACAAGGTGTATGATACTTTCTTGGAATATTATTAATATATTAATATCAACACATGTAACCATAGTAGTGATCTCAAGTTGTTGCATTAGATGTAGGCCCTGTTGGAGAAGTATCACTTTTGAGCTTATTTCTGTGAATTTCACAATGTAAGCATTTATGATTTTGATAATAGGAGGCTGTATCGAAGGGAAGAAGGTCATCATAGGGAAATAATCAAAGCGCTCTCTCTTGGGATTTATACACTTAAGAGGTAATTTTACGTGTTTTATATTCTTTATTTTTTGTTGGTTGCTGATATGCTATTGGCTTTGTAATAATGATTGAAAGTTAATTTTGGTTGCTAGATAGAAATCCCTGCCATAAACCCAATACGTGCTATTTCCTTGCCTTGTGTGGGTTGAGGGGTTATGAGTTCCCACTGTTAATCTAACATTTTTAGGTGGAATATTGAGATGGAAAATTCGTTCATTGCATGATATTAAGTGTACGGTGGTGCTTTCAAATTGCTGAGATATAATTATTTGAAGTTTGCTATGATGTGGAGATAGTACCCATGAGAATCACTATGTCAAGGGACTATTTTAATCTTTCTTAGTTTATAAATTTTGTCGTTGTTTGGGAATTTGATGAAGTGGAGATATTATAGATTTACAGTTGGAGGCCTTTTTAAAAAATTAAATTTAATGTTGTTGTTGTAGTTTAAGAGACACCACCTCCTAATAACTAATTTACATAATTAATTAAAGAATTTGAGACTGCAATTAAGATCAAGTATAAGTATTTAAATAGTTAGTAATTAATAAATTAATAGTTGAATAAGCTTGATAACCCTTGCTAATAACAGTGATATGTGCAGAATTTTTTAGAGTCAAAAGAGACGTTTGATTTTAATTCTCTTCTTATCTTTATGAAATATATTTCTTATTAATAATTAAAAAATTAAAAAAATATCAAATTATTTTTATTATCTTTTTATATTTCTAATTTTTTTGGAAGGAAAAAGTCAATTGACTTGCATAGTTGCATTACGAGGTGGAGAAACCGTATTTACATGGAAGAATCTACATGATTTTGGGGTGGTACAAGGAAAAATCAATATTACACTTGTAATTAGTTCACTTTTATTTAAAAGAAAAGAAAATTACAATTAAAACAAGAGATCCAAAAAAGAAAATCAATTGAAGCCATGATTGCTAAACTATATCAAAATATGTCTATACCTCTCTATCTACTAAACTAACTACTGTTATTAATAATCAAGTAAGTTATTATTTTTCTTAATAAACATTATATAATTTTTTAATGCATTTACTAAAAATGTTATTCATTTGTTTT